TTGGCTGCAGTCCCCATCTGCGGTGATCTTGGAGCCCAGGAAAATAAAATCTGTCATTGCCTCCATTTCTTCCCCATCTATTTGCCCTAACCAGCCGTGCACATCGTTAAAAAAAATTAATTACAGGGCAAATTTTGACAACATTGGGCAGAACATCCAAAGTGGGGCGTATCAAATTTCAAATTTAATAGGATTTGTATGCCGCCCACGCCCTAGGGACTCATCATTGAATATCCAAGACAGGTTTGGTTTTCTAAGTTGTGTTGTTATAGAAATCCAAATCAGTAATAAAATCTAATTTCTACAAAGGTCCACATCTCCATTAATTGGGTCTTTCTGAACTTCACCCGCCAGGAAGGGCTAAACCTAATCTGGCTCAAAATCATTTGCTGTAAGAGGGACCTCGGGGGTTCCTAGTGGATAATCACACAAGAGCCAGTCATGTGTGGCAGCAGCCAAAAAACCTAATAGAATCCTGGGTTGTATAAATGGGCATAGAATCAAAATCACATGAAGTATTAGTACTGCTTTATAAAACCTTGGTGAGGCCACGTGTGGAATGCTGCATGGAGTTTTGGCCACCACATTACAAAAAAGATGTTGAGACTTTGGGGGAAAAGTGCAGAGAAGAGCAACTAAGATGATTAAAGGCCTGGAGACAAAAACATGCAGACCAGTTGCAGGATTTGGGTTTGGCTAGTCTAGAGAAAAAAAAGGACTAGGGGCGACATGATGGCAGTTATTTCAGTACTTGAAAGGCTGCCACAAAGAAGAGGGGGTCCAATTATTCTCCAAAGCACCAGAAAGCAGGACAAGAAACAATGGGTGGAAACTAATCAAGGAAAGAAGCAACCTGGAGTTAAGGAGAAACTTCCTAATAGAACAATTAACCAGTGGAACAGCCTGCCACCAGAGTTGTGGGTGCTCCATCGCTAGAGGCTTTTCAGAAAAGACTGGACAGTGTTTTCTTACTATAGGATCACCTGCTTGAGGGGGGGGCTAGACTAGAAGACCTCCAAGGTCCCTTCCAGCTCTGTTCTGATTCTATTTCCTCCCATCTGTAATTTCCCCAACAAAGTAAAGAAAAAAGAAAAAGCAGGCGAAACAGGAAGTTTTATGTCCCTCGAGGCTTCCCGTCGAGACTGCGAGCGCGCGAGCGCTCCTCACTAGCTCCGCCCACTCCCTCTCTATATATAAGGCGAGGACCACGTGTCTTCGGCCATTTGCTGCTGGGTTCGAGAGGACGTTCAGGTAAGGTTGGCTCTGATGCTCCCTGCGAATTCCATCGAGAGCGCCTTTAACGTGGTTCGCCGTTCGGATGGTGCAGGCACGGCGTCAACTGCAGCTCCCATCGTCCCCAGCCGGCTGGGGAAGACGGGACCCACTTTGCAATTAAAGCAGGCACGGGGGAGGGCTCGTTCCATGCCCATCCGCCCACCCACCCCGCGGGATCTTGCCGAGGGGAGCTTGCTCGGGGCCCTTCCCGGTCCCGGAGTGAGCTTCCCTTGCAGGAGAACGAAGAACGAAGCGGCTCTCCCGCCTTTCTTGCTGCTTTTGCCACCTTAAGGGGTGGGTGGGTCCTTTGAAGGACCCCCATGCTGTTTGGTCCCCTTGGGAGAGGAAAGCAGGGAAATGGTTTCCGAGTTAGGAGTAGAGAAGGCAGAGTGGACTAAATCGTCACTTTAAATGAGGGGGACTTGAGCTGGAGCTCCCTTGCAATCATTCAGAGCAACTGGAAGGGACCTTGGAGGTCTTCTAGTCCAGCCCCCTGCTCAAACAGGAGACCCTATACGCATGATGGGGAACCTATAGCACATGTATACCACAGGTGGTGCTCGTCGCCAGCTGCTCTTCTGGTTTCTGGCGTGCCCTGGGCACAGGAGCCCAAGAAAATGGTCCAAAAACCAGGTCTTTGGGGGGCTTTTTTGGCCTAAAAAAACCTGAAAATGGTCAAAAACAGGCTGGTCTCCAGGTTTTCAGTGCTCTGGTGCATGCACATTCACGCACATGTATGCATCTCCAGGTTTGAGCACTCCGTGCCAAAAAGGTTGACCCTCACTTCCCTTATGCCCTTTGAGACAAGTGGTGCCCAATCTCCTTAAAAGTCTCCAGTGATGGAGCGCCCACAGCATCTGGTGGCAAGCTTTTTCACTGGTTTATTGTCCTCACTGTTAGGAAGTTTCTCCTTAATTCCAGGTTGCTTCTCTTCTTGATTAGTTTCCATCCATTGTTTCTTGTCTTGCCCTCTAATGCTTTGGAGAATAGCTTGA